TGGATTTAGAGAGTGAGAGTAATGAAGGGGGATATTACTTATATTTCATCTTTGCACATGAATATCATATATACTTGTATTCATCATCTTTCCTTTGCTCGTATGTATATAGAATCCCTTTCTCCTTTGCCATTATTGAATCTTTCATCATAAATAAAATAAAGATAAGGCTTATCTATGTTAGCCACTCTCAGTGTAATATATTGGCTCTTTAAAACTAATACAACAACAATAGTAGGCTTTTATCCCTCTAAGTAAGTTCGATACTTGAATCCTTTTTGTCCATTGTGTCCTATTGAGTGTCATATTGTCATTTAATTCGAATAAATTAATATCATTTTTTCATACAATATGCCCAAGTTTTTTTAGGTTTACCTTTACTTAACATAAATCAAATCTACAACATCTATTCTTATAATTGGGTCTTCAAATGGTCGAAATTTAATATGATCAAACCATCTATATTCTTGTCTGCCACTGGAGCTGCTCCGACCTTTTTACAAAGATATTTGTTTTGCATTTTGTCTCTAAGTGTGAAGCCACCATCCAGCTGAGCATTCTCATCTCTGCAACACAACTTAATTTTATGCTTCTCTTTTACATGCCAACATGCTACGCCATAAAGCATTGCAAGTCTCACCACCATCTTATGAAATTTTCCTTTCAAGTCTAAGCGGTACTTTTCTTTCACACTATAGGTTTGATGCATTCCTCCACTTCAACCATCCAACTTGAATTCTACTAATAACATCCTCATCTGTATCACCATTACTTTGAATAATATCTGAAATGTTCAGTACTTTTAATGGCTTGGTCACCCATAGGTACAACTCCGCCACTAAATCTACTACTACTAAAATTATATTCCATGTATTCGGTTTTAGATTTACTCAAACAACGGTCTTTAGACTCTAAAGTTTACCTACATAATTCTAATTTTTGTTGAACTCTTTTTTGCTTTATCCAGAAAAATGATATATTATCAACAAAGATCATACACCAAGGTTCATCCTCCTGTAAATTTCTAGTAAGAACATTCATAACTGTAGCAAGGAAAACAAAAAAGAGCTTAAAACAAATCCCTGATGTAATCCAACTGAAATAGAAAAATGCCTAATCAATCATCATTGTGTTAAGAAAACAAGTATCAACCATAGTACACATCTTTAATGACTTGAATATAAGCAATATCAACATCCATTGTTCTAGAACTCTCCAAAGTATTTTCTTAGAACCTTATCATATGCTTTCCTTAAATCAATGAAAATTTTATGTTGATCCTCCTTACTCTCTATACTTTTCCATCAAATCTCTTATTAAATGTTTATCTTCTATATTAGATATGCTTGACGTGAATCAAAACTGATTTAAATTTTTTCTATCATGTCGTAACTTATGTTCAAGTACTCTCTCATAATTTTAATGTATGATACATTTATAATTCATCTATAATTCACAGACACTGTGCATTTTATTTTTTTTAATTGAAAAAATATACTCTTTCTTCACTCATCAAACATCTTTTTAATTTTTAAAATAATATTAACTAAGTTTAGTATGCTAAGAAATTCTTAGACCTCCTAAACATTTCAACACTTCTTTTGAAATACCGTCTTTATTTTTAAAATAATATCCAAGTTTTTTAAAACTAATAATATGATCTATTTAATTCCTTCATAATTTATCCAAGATTTTTCAATATTTAATCAGATTATATTCGCGGTGCATGCTCCATGTCACTAATAATCATTATTTGTTATCTTTTTTTATTTTTTAGAATTGTTTAGTCATAACTATTGTTTATGCGAAAATAAGTCTCCATCATAACTGTGGAAATCTGAGAAAATTTGATTCTTTCCATACTTTCCTCTCACATAGATCGGCCGCCACCTCCAAATTTTGGAGGATTTGACTGGGATGTCCTAGGAACTTTTGATTTTTTTATTCTCTTTCTATGTTTATTCAGAATTATTTCCTTTCCTAATTTTGGTGAGATATATTTGGTAAGTTTGTAAATATGGAAGGATGGGTTTCTCTAGATATATGTAACCTATTTGTGAATGATGAATCAAAGAGCTTTCATCTTGAAGTAAATTCTACAATAACTAATATTTTCTAGCTTATAAACTCGTTGAAAATTGACAATCTCATTGAGTGATTCATGTTGATTTTAATTAAGTTGTCATCTTTCGTAATAACATTAATTCAATTACATTCTTATAAGGGATCTCATTACTCTTCATATTTTTTAGGGAATATTTATTATCCAATACAAGATTCAACATGTGAAAATTGCAGAAGTCCAAAAAATGTAATGATTTTTGTATCAACAAGTATTCTTATAACTCTGCATATAAGTGCATTGTCAGTGATTCTTTGAACCATTTTATTTTCATCTACCCACATAATTATACTTTGATGTGATTGGCAATATAAAACTTTTTTTTGTGTATTTTATAGTTGATGTCCTTTATAAATATAGGCCCAAATTTTACAATGGCCATGAAATTTATGAGGTCTTCTTTGTGAATCTATCCAAGCATTACTAGCTATAGTAACTTACTTTTCATTTCAAGTCTCTTTTATAGGCTCTATTTTTTTTAATATTTATTTTTACTTTTGAAGCAAAATATTTCTCAAAAGATTATAACAAGAAATAATATAATCACTTTTTTAACCTTATTCAATGGAAGATGACATTCGGATAATAGGAATATAACGTTTGATTGAATTATTAGTTTTACTTAAGAAAGAACTTAAAATTGAAGGAATGCTGATAAAACATGCTAGCAATTTTTTCATGCGAATGATCTCTAATTTGCAAATTAAATGTTATTTAAATAGAAGTAGAGCCTGACGTTTCTTTATTTGGGATTTTAGCTTTCATTACTAAAAAAATGTCAATTTGCTTGTGAGCTATGATATGATTTTTGAGTCTTAAACGCTAGGAAAGGAAGGGAAACCTTTATGCGTAACCTTTTTCCCCTCAGTTTCAGCATGTGGTTTTTGAACTATTTTTTTTGCTTTGTGAAAGTTATATTGATATATGATTGAATCTCTGCCCCAGGATTTCAGAGTAAATGAGCTCTAATCTTATAATATGTTTCCTTGACTTCCTTGGCCAAATTGGCATTGAAGTTGTGTATTGCCTCCTACTCCAACTGTTTCTAAGTTGTCTAATTTGATAACATATATCCACATAGGTTTTTGTCTCGTCCTCCATAGAATTATTTACAACTAAATTAGCACTATTTGTGGAAGCCATTATCCTATTAGATTAAAAAAATAAAACTTAATCGAACTCAAAGAATAATTTGACAACATTGCTTCCTAAAATTTTCTCACATATGGTAGAAAATAATTTAATTTGGTAGAATTTAGCCTTTCCTCTGGATGGAAATATCAAATATGGAAGCAGCCAAACATAGGTGCAATCTCAGGAATAGAAACAATTGTAGGAAGGAAACCGAATAGACTATAGCAGTGAATTGCAGCAATCTCGACAGTAAAGTGAGAAACAACGCACGAATAAAACAACAGTGGAAACTACTGTGACACTATGGGCAGCAGCATTGAATAACTTGCAAACATTTTAACAATTATGTTTTACAAAAAGAGCGGCAGATTCTAAAGGAAAACATAATTTACATGTAATTAATGAAATTGGCAACATCTAAGCAAAAATAAATTTCAAATTAAATAACTGGACTTTTGCTGGAATTGACAATGGAAATAATTAAATTAGAGAATCCAAGAGTTGCATAAAACCAACCTATAATGGCGAAGAATTCTAATGTGAAATATACAAGAAAAATATATTTCAAAACTTATAATCATTAATACTCATACTTCTCATTTTTGTATTCTCTTTTTTATGTTTCTGATGAGTCTATACAATCAGAGTGAATTAAGAAGCTTGAATAAATGCATTCATTCACAATGAACTTATAAAAAATTTGTAGATTATTGTTTTTGTTTATAATGAATTTGTTTAGATCTTTGTTTTTGGTGAGATTTTAATTTCGTTTGTTACCTGTGTAAGCACAAACTTGAATGTGGTGATTGTTGAAACATGCGGCTTCTTTGCATCTTTGAACCATATTGTTTGAATTAGCACAATATGACATTTTTTTCATCTGATTTCGTCTTTATTGTATCTTTGATCGATTTAGCTTTTGTCCTCATCATCTTCATTGTCCTGGCATGAGGAGAAAAAATGAATTGGGTTAGAGCAACTATGCTGTTTTTATTCAGCTTGAAATGATAGTAATCTGGTTTTGACTTCCTTGTGTATATATCATTGAAACCATCTTCTTGAGCCTTGTCATTTTTGACATTTTGGCACTAGATGAATCAAGTTAAGGCAATTTTATAGGAGGTGGGGTGAAACAAAAAAACAAAAGCAAATCATATATATATATATATGTTTTTTTGTTTCACCCCACCTCCTATGACCCAGATCTTGTGTGTCCCACATCATTTCCTGTCTTTTTCATGCTGTGTAACCCAAATTTACAATAAAAATTTTCAACACAGTTCATGACGTGTTAGACTTGTATAAAGAGTTTTGGCCATGTCCAACTTGTTCGACATTGATACAGGTATCATTCAGAGCATGCTAGTTGAATCGTTATGAAGATGAAATTTTAGCAAGTATTCTTCATGAAAATTGTATGCACATTGGTACATGATTACATGATTATCGTATATGCTTAAAATTAGATTTAATGCATGCTTCGGGGCACAGATTTTTTTCTTGCTGCATTATGTACGCTTACGACTTCCTTGGACTTTCAGACGTTCAAGTTTTATTCTTAAAATCTTTCAGCTGTTAGATCATATTTTTTTTCCTGCGATGTTAACTATGCATAATCTAGTAGTAAACTAGTTTATTAAATATTCTTTATGGTTCATATTTTGTTTCCTAGTGAGGTGATAGTGGATAAGTATAAAATGTAAATTAATTCGATTGATTCTTATCATTAATGTTATGGCTGCAGCTGTGCACATTTGACTGCTCTCAGGAGGGACTTAATAGGTAAATGCTTTTACATAATGTGTAAATTATTTTATCAGCATTATTATCCCAAGACCAGCCATTTTTGGCTCAGGCCAGTTTTTTAAGTTCTCATTTTTTCATTTGTTTATAATTAGTGCTTCAGATTTTAATTTTCTTTTTCACAAATTATTTTGAATCATTTTTATCCATATTATTTTAAGTCTATCATTTTAATTTATAATTTTATTTATTTATCTACTTTATAATTGATGTCTGTTCTTAAAATGCGCTAAGCTTTCCATTGCTTTTCCCGTAAACAAAAGTTCTGTGCTTTTCAAATATAGTCACAACTTGGCTAAAGCTGTGTGCTGATTTATTAATGAAATACTCTAATTTAATTATTTTTGGATTTACTATGTATGATGTCAGCTTATTCTTTGGAATATTATCAAGCAAGCTTTAAACAATGGGTGGTCACTGGAAATCTGGCTTTTATTTATCTGGAAAAGGAATGTTGATTAGTTTTTGGGATACTGTGGCTAGTTTCAATAGGGACTCTTCCAAAGTCCGTCCTGTGGTTTAGCTTGGTTGATGAACAATCAACTCTTGTGAAACATGATTAATTGGACAAGTAGATGGGGGATATTGGTTGGACGTATTCAAGTTTAAGGGTCGAGGTTGGGGTGCTAATAATTAGTAAGTTCTTTTGAAATAGTAAATTCTTGGTTGTGTTTGCATCTTTGTATTGCAGTTAGTAAATATCAGTGCTTCTAGCGGAGGCGAGGTATTCAGATTGAAATTTTAATTTTTCCCAAAATAGATGTGGATATATCTACAAGGCATTTCAGATTGGCAATCTTGGAGGGTGGAGCTTGGTAAAGTAATGTCCCTTTTGAGTGTATGTGGTGGAGATCATTGATCAAACGAGAGGGGGAGCTGACTAATTTGAGAAGTATAAATTATTATATCCTTTTCAGGTAGAATTTTATCCTGTATTTATTAGGTGATCCCAAGGCCTGTATAAATATAAGGTGGGTACAAGGCCAATTGCAAATATAAAGGGGGTGTAAGACTAATTACATATATTAAATTTACGTGAAGCTAGAATTGCCATAGTTGTGCCTGCTGACATTGATTCTTGAGACTTCTAGTTTGTAATTCAAGTTTGTATTTTAGTTTATAATGCAACAATACAATAGCAATGAATGAAGAGTATAGATTCACTAAACCATCCCCAAATGTTTGGGATAAGACATGATGATGATGATGATGATGATGATGTTGATGGTGATGATTTGGTAATTCCTGTGTGACCGATTTGTGTCCCATTTGTATCTACTAAACTGGAATGTGGATGATTGCATGGGCTAAAGATTGTTCTGGACCCCCACTCCAAACACTATTACCTGGGAAGTGTCAATTTGTCTTGGATCTGAAATTGTTCTAGTTTTTATTTTTTATTTTTTAGAGAACGAGGCACATTAGTATTTTTCTTTTTATTTCCAACCAATATATCGTGTATTTGAGCACCAAAGTGTTGTAGCTAGGTAGGCAATTTGATTTTTCCCCCCTCTAACTTTAATTACTTTATAGTTTATACTATAGTAATGCACTTTATCAATTTATTTCATCTGTCACCCATAAATTTAAATACTGAATATATGCTTGAACATAAACCAGCAAGTGTAGTTCCCATTATCTTTTATTTAAGTTTAATATTGTAATTCCAAGAATATTAATCTCTCTTCTTCATACGATGGCATCCTCATCTGTAGGTGAATATACTGCTGATGATGCATGGAGCTTCCAAGTCTTAGAAGACCAGGTCAGCAAGATTTATTTATAACCATGCCGGAAAGTTTATATCTATTTGAGTTTCTCCCTATGGAAGCTTACATTCCTTTGAAGGAGTTGATATCCAGATCGATGATGATGGCTGATTAAATGCCCAAAGAGATTTGCAGTCGCATATGACTCCACATATTCTGTAACTGCTTTCGAAGCGTATTTTTAACCAAAAAAAACAAAAAAAACAAAAAAAAAAAGGAAAAAAAATAAAAAACCTTTCAATGCCTTTCTAAAGATGAAATTCTTGAAGTGGCTCAAATGAGTTTCATTTGCCTCATGTTAAATTAATAGTTTATAGTTAAATCAATATGTGCCACTCTAATTCATAGATAAAATACTATCATTGTCTTTAAATAATATTGACTTTATTATGATATATATTATTAAATATTTTTAATATATGCTTGATATTAATTTTTTTAAACTAATAATCATAAGTTATAAAGGATTATGAATTAGTATCGTTGGAGTTAATTATGAGTCTGTTGGAGTTCCTTGGCTAGCATCTTCGGTGACAAATATTTGACATTTGGTGGACATGGTGCTGAATGATAATCCTGGTTGAATTATGTAGTTTATAGATTGTGTTTGGCGTAGACATGCATCTATTTAGATTTGGAGTTCAACTATTGGTTTAACTTGGAATGGAGGAGATTTAATCCAATATGTAACTGAATTTGTCAATGCTAACTAATCCAATATCAGTATCTTTCTCTGCGGGTTTGATTTCTAGATTCTGATCGTTTCTTGTATGGTCATTACGAGTTTAACTTGATTCTCTCTTATTATTATTATTATTATTATTATTCTTAGTGTGATTATTATTATTATTGTTATTTTTGTTGTTATTGTTATTATTGAGATTGTTATTATTGTGATTGTGATTACTACTATTATTGTCATCGTTATTATTATTATTATTATTGTTGTTGTTATTATTATTATTGTTATTATTGTTATTGTTATTCTTCTTCTTCTTCTTATTATTATTATTATTATTATTATTATTATTATTATTATTATTATTATTATTAAGATCATCATCATCATCATCATGATTATCATCTTCACCTTCTTATTTTTTCTTCTTTATCTATGGATTTAATGATCATAATTGATAGATGGATTTCATAATCATGATTGATAGCATAATAAGTTATACAGAAACAATTTAGAAAGATTCTGCAGGGTTTAATGTGTTGTCATCTCAGGCTCAGTAACGAACTTGTATTTATAAGCAATACCAAAGGTCGATATTTCAAAGTCTGAGTGTTTTCATGATCATAATTGATAGTATAATAAATTATAGAGAAACAATTTAGAAAGATATTATAGAGTTTTAATGTTTCTTTTCATCATAGGCTCAATCATTGAACTTGAATTTACATATATTGATTATGCCAGTGTAGATGGTTAGTTGCGCTTGAATTAGACTCTAGATACGGTAGCTATTGCAGGGTTCTGTTGACTGATTCGCATCGAAGTGGTTTTATTTTTCATCAAAAAGTTATAGCTAATCGACAAGTGCATTGAGTTTTATTTGGGTGTATGGTCTTGATTAATAAATAACGACAAATCTATTAGGCAAATTCAGTGGCCAAGTATTGAAAGTGAAGTCGAAGATAACTCTTGTGCAATTTATTATGAGATGTAACTTGAAATTTAAGGATTTAGCTAATTTATGCTTATAGAATTAGATTGGAATATGTTATGATAAAGTTTAGGTGCTTATTATTATTTCATTCTTAGATTTTATCATGAAACCCAACCAAACACATCGTCTCTCTTATTTTCTTGATTTATTTAATATTTTTAATTTATTGTAATACTCTACTTAAGCAATGAGCCTTTTCCTTGGGTTTTTTCATATATTTGGTGCAGAGCATCCTAAAAATATGTGGTGATAGGCTCTTACAAAATTATTTTTGGACCTCTAAAATATGGGCTAAATAAAATCAATTATAAGATTGTATTTTAGACAAGTATGGCTTGTGAAATTGGCTAAAATTTTAAAATTAAAATGACTTTATTATCCCTTTAACAGATGGTTGCTTTTTTTATAAGAATTTGCTCATTAAAAATTAGGATTAAGATCTACTATTAGCTAATAAATATTATTTGCTCAGCCTAGTGAGTTTCATGTAGAAATAAAAGTATAAATATTAAGGGCTAGATAACTACAGAAAAATATTGATAAGTTAGCATACATACTCTTCATGGATGGATAGTTGTAGCTTATCTGGCTAAGTTATATGTCTCCATATAAAAGATAAAGCTTCATAGTTATAACAGTATATAGCTTTAGCTTAGCTAGTCAGCTTTAGCTTAGCTAGTCATCCTTTTTAAACAAGTGATAGCTTTAGCTTAGCTAGTCATCCTTTTTAAACAAGTTTATATGAGTAGAGTTGAGCTAACTTAATCTTTATTGAGATTTTAGGGCTATAAGTGTCATGCATTCATTATATTTAGCTTTGAGCTAATATCTTATAAATGGTTCCCACCTTAGATCTAGAATTTGTGGCTAATATTCCTCTCAATTACGACATAAATTCTCATTTATTGTGCATTATCTCAATCTTATGTTGTAAAATGTAATTCGATTCCTCTCAATTACGATATAAATTCTCATTTATTGAGCATTATCTCAATCTTATGTTGTAAAATGTAATTCGTAAACTCTTAGAGAAAATGGTCATCTTAAACTATAAATCCTAATCTAGGATATATATAGTAATCATGTATCCTTATTCCTATTCTTTCTCATTTGGTTTATTTACCAAAATTAATACAAGTTTCTCAAAATCATGTATTCTTATTCTTTCTCATTTGGTTTATTTACCAAAATTAATACCAAGTTGATATATTTACCTTCAAATTCTAAAGTCAAAATTTGTATTGAAATCCCAAATTTTGTATGAAATTTTTCAAGGGATAAATACTCTTAAGATTTAATTAATTACTAATAGGATCTTACCTTAATGGAACCTTGTGCCTTAGAATAAAATAAATATTATTCAATTAGATATATCATGTACTAGAAGTTATTTGAGAATATAAAATAAAATATATATTATTAATTGTATAGTAAAATAATATTTTATCTTACAAGATAATTTAATATTTTTTGCCACACTAAAAAAAAAAAATATTTTTAAATTTATTCATAAAAATATTATCATATTTTTTGGGACTGTACAACGGGTTGCATTCTTTATTCATCTTAAATATTGGCTAATATTTCTTTTATTATCATTTTAGTCAGATTTCTCACCCATTTCAATCAGGTATTAGTCTAGCTTAATTTCTTATTGCTTTAGCATTCTAAGTGTTAGTATCTCATGTAATTTTCACTTCTTAGCATATTAAGTTTGAAGCATTAACTATTTTTACTGATATATCTACACAATCCTAAAAAAGAAATGAGAAATTAACATAATGAAAGAGCTTAAAGAATGATGCAAAAGCTCAAAAAAATTGATAAGATGCTTGAGGCCTCCCATCTTCTAAGAGATAGTCATGTTTTTTTTCCAACTGGGGAAGATGGGAAAGCTAAGAAGATATAATATTCATCTCCTAGGTCTCCAATAGAACTTTTAAGGACATGGCTTATAAAGAGAGAACCATATAATGAGAAAAATTTATAGGAAATCTTTTCTAAAGAGTTATCGTGTTTGTCAACTCTGTGATGGGCAATTCAACTATGGTAATAAAGAATCTTGTCCAACTCAAAAGACTAGATAAAAAGTTTATGATTACTTAAAAATAGTCTATTTGTAACATCATACTAAGATCATCTAGCAATGAAGACGATGGCTCTCATAAAGAGGATGTATCTACATTTCCTAATTAAAAAATTAAAATACCTTTTTGAATTGTTAACCCCACTATCTAAAAACATAATAAAGGTATTAAATATATGGAGTCTATACTACAAAAATAAGTGAGAAAGAATATGCATTTCAAAATGGACCTCAATCCTCAAGTTAAAAGTCAATGTAAAATTATAAAACCATTCTATTAATAAAATCATATAAATACATTTTGATTGGTGTTATCAGTGGTTATATGCCCTTAAACTAAAAGAGATACTTAGATCTCAATTAGCTACATAGAATGACCAATTGGTTGGCTAAAATCAAGGCTAACTCAAGCCATCCTTAATAGAAGCAATTTAATAAGGTCAATCTTAACCTACAAATTAACTAAGCTTAGTAGGCCCTAAGCTTATAATGTATTTTTATTTTATTATTGACTGATTTGAATCAATAAAATCTAGTTAATTCAATTTGACCCATTTGAACTTAAATGGGTCAAATGAGTCAAATTGGCCTTAAATACTAGATTTATTAAATTTAAGCATATCCATTGATATGCCCCTAACAAGGTCAACCAAATTTAACCAAAGGTATGGACATATTTGATCACATTAGTCATTATGAACCATTTTGGGACCAAGATAAAACAAATGGGTTTAAACCATCAATTAAAAAATAATAATTTGGGGAAATATTTCCATTAGTTACCTGACACCTTAAGTTAACTTGTATGATATTCATTAAATTTAAGCATATCCATTGATATGTCCCTAACAAGGTCATCCAAATTTAACCAACGGTCTGGACACATTTGATCACATTAGTCAACATGAACCATTTTGGGACCAAGATAAAGTAAATGGGTTTAAACCATCAATTAAAACATAATAATTTGGGGAAATAATTCCATTAATTAGCTGACGCCCTAAGTTACCTTGTATGATATTCCTAATAAATGTTAAGATTATCAATCATAGGTTAACCAAGTGCAAGAATATGGTTATTAGGGATAATAATAAGCACACATAGCTAATGGGATTTCCTCATATGTCATTTAATAAGTACATTTTTAGATGATTCCTAGCATCCACTTCCTCTTGATCTGCTTTGATTAAGCTTGGTGGCAATAAGAGTAGAGCTTTAAATTATTATTTACTATGAT